AACTCACAAACATCAGTCAAGTTGATGATGCTCTCATTTGATTGGTGGGGAAGCTAAGGATCAGAGAGGGTAAGTACCTTGTCTAAGAACACATAGACAATCCTAATCCCTCTGGAGCAGAAGAGGATTATTTTTTTCATCAATCCTCAGTGGCTTCTACAACGAGGACAGAGTCCCAGCACAGCAGATCTCCACAGGCTCCTGTTCTCCTGCTCCAAGTTCCTCTCCAATCTCCTGCCACCCCCCACAGCCGCTTGAGTAATGGCTTTGGTGAGAACTGGCTTTGCTCTCCAATTGCAGGCAGGAGGTGAAAACTGCCTGTTCAATATTTCCTCCTAATGAGCCTCCGCACTCCTGTCGCCTTTCAGGATGGAGGCAAGCTCTCTGCCACTGTTGTCCTCATATCTATCAGCTCTGTTTACCTGCGGGGTGGCAGAGGGAAGGAGCAGCATTATACATAAATATCATGAAATCCACCGAGGGCGCCAGGCAGAGCGCTTAATCCCACCTCCGTCACTAACTACTTAGAATCTGAAGAAGTCACTCTCCCTCTGGTTTCTCTGTCTCTAAAGTAAACAGAGGGTAACACGCTTAAGAAAAAAAGAAATCAATCGGTGTTCTGAAGAAAAAGGATGTGTGTGGGCAGGGGTGGCAGCTCCGTGTTGGACTGACACATTCTCCCTCTGTTCTGATGATACTGGAGACAGTGAGCCCTGTCCCTCCTCACCTGTCAGCTCTCCTCGGAGGCTGGAGTATAGTGACACCTCCTGCCTCACCTCCAAGCACTTCAGTCTGCTCTCCTGCTCTCCTGGGCTGCATGTTCCAAGGCATGTTCATGTGAGTCATTTCTGTTGAAACCTTCCTTCCAGAAGGATCCAAATCTTCTGTTTTGGACAGAAAGATCTTCGTGTTCCTGTTTTACCCTCCCCCAAACCCCACAAGACACGCAGGCCCTGACCTCACACCCTAGGGCCTTTGCATGCACTGCTTGTGCCTAGCATCAGCTATTCTGACCTCCAGACTGCAGAGTCTGTCTTGGTTGTCTCTGATCCCCCAACATGTGAAAGCTGCCCAGAGATGAACATGGGGGCATGAATACAGGTGGGAAGCTGAAAGCCTCTCTCTACTCGATGGGTGAAAATCTCCCAACAGGTGTGGTTCAGCATGTTCAACAGGTCCCAGCCAGCAGGGTCAATCTGTGCTGATGCCCACAGTGAATCTTGCAGGACATTGTACACCAGGTACCTCACCCAAGCCACAGAACGCAGGCTGCTCCCCCAGCATGGAACAGGGTCATACTGAGACCAAGGGTCTTGGCAGCCATCACCTGAAAGAACCAGGACAACTCCTGGGTGGGCGTGATGTCAACACAGGTTAGAAGTTTGATGCTTTTGAACACTGGCTCCAAGACATGACTCCCACTTGTGTGGCTTCCCAATCCTCTCTGTGGGAGGAAAAGTAGTCAAAGGCTTGGGGTTAAGCACAGCTGGTAGACTGCTTGCCTAGCATGCACACAGTCTTGGGCTTGATCTCTAGCACCCAATAAACTGGACATGTTGGCACACACCTGTAAACCCAGCACCCTGGAGGTCAAGGCAGGAGGACCAGAAATTCAGAGTCATCCTCAGCTATAAACAAGTTCTAGGCCAGCTTGGGCTACATGAGACCTTGTCTCAACAATAACAAAAGAGGTAGCCAAGAGCATTGTTGCTGGCCAGCTTCATGAAGCCTCGGACCATGTGCCATAGAGCAGGAGGCCCATAGGCAGCCTTCCCCCAGTCCCTGGGCTGTTGCACGTTCCTGGGACTGTTTTAGGAGACTCCAGCTAGGTAGCCCATGTATCCCTCAGAGGTTAGAAGCCCACTACTGGCTCATTTTTCTCTACAAACTGTTGGCAGCTGTAGGGCAGAAGCTGCATCCATGCACACATCTCTTGCTCACCTGGCTAAGTCCCTGCCCTGACCGCTACAGCAGGAAGGCTTCATCTCTGAGGGTTGCCAAGGAACTGTGTTTCAAGGATGCCAGTGGCTCTGTCCACTTTCAAATCCAGCTTCAATGTCATCTTCATGGCGAGGTCTTCTCTGACCTCCCCATTTCTCATTATAACCCTCACCCTGCCTCTGCCTGGCCTCTGTCCTCCCTTGCTCTCTGGGCCCCTGACAGCAGGCTATTAACATACCTCATCCAACCCCTCTCCCACTCCGCTGGAATTTAAGTCCTGAGGACAGGCATCACTCGCTGGGATAGGTTGGTATGCAGTAGGTGCTCACATACATTCAGGACACAAGACCTGGGGCTGGGAAGACAGTTCACTCAGCAAAATGATTCCTGTGCAAGTATGAGGCCCTGAGTTCATAACCCTAACCCCAAGCACAGGTGCACACATCTGTAAACACAGTAGTGCTGGGGTGGGGGTAGGGGAGACAAGCGTGACAGGCAGATATCTGGAGCTTGCTGGTCAGGCAGTCGGGCTTAATCTATGAGCCCCAGGTTCAGTGAGAGACCCCATCTCCAAATGAGGTGAAAAGGACATCTATCTCCTCTCACCCCACAATACACCCATAGTTAACACCGTGAATGTCAGTTCACAGAGAAGTCTTCAAAGGGGATAAACAACTTGCCAGGTTCCTGCAATGGTGCCTAGTGCCGGCAGGGTGGAAAAGCCATACTGCTTTTCACTAGCTTCTGTTGCTTTGGAATCAGATCCATGTTCTTCTCAGCCAGGCCCCTGCTGACCCACCTCCCTCTGCTTCCTCAGCACACCCAAGACTAGTCTTCACTCGCCTGGAGTTCTTCTCTACTGGAAGGCTCCAGAGCCTTTGTACCTTCCACCCTCTGCTGCAAATAACTGTACCCCAACATAGGTACATGCAGATAGATCTTAGTATTAAAATTCTTCTCCTTAGGGTCCCATCTAGTCCAGCCCTGTTACCCCAATTTCCAGCTATCACAGTTCCATTGTTTCACCTTTACTGTCTAAAAGGGCCTTACTTACCAGTAGAACCAGTTTGCCAGGAAATCTAGCCCCATGGGCTCAATACCCAAGCCTTGTGCCTTCTCTATCCACTAAACTCAGTCTGCCCTCCATTCCTGCTGCATCCTTCGCCCAAGTCTCCTCAGCATGGTCAGGCACGCTCATTCATTATCCACAGACCAGCCAATTTGAAGCTTTTGAGTCTGTTCAAATCTCTTCCCAGGAGGAGGGAGGTAAGCACCCTCTTTCTCTCTCCGGGGTGCCACGAAAGGAGTGGCACACTCCCCAAAGTCTGCTCTCAGTTTGGTTTAGTTTGCTGAAGTCTCTGTGGATTTGGTGAATCTGTCCCCCTCGATGGTGGCTGTCAGCTGAACAGTTCCCCTGCCCCTTTCCAGGTAGGAAGCAGCCTTTGTCCAGTGCCACCTGGCTTGCACATAGCTCCTTTTCACATGTCCCCATCAAAGATCTCTGCAAGGTTCCGGTGTTCTGGGAAGCAGACTCCTCCCCATGAGTCCCCAGAGAGGTGAACAAACTGTGGGGACACTTCCTGGGCCCAAGGGTATCAGCACCTAGTCTGCAGCTGGCAGCAGCTCTGCAGCCTCCCTGGCCTCCAGCTGGGGAGACCAGTACCAGTGTCTCTTACTGGCAGTGCCCTTAGCTGCAGGACCCTCTGGGGACTTCCTTCACTAGGTTCTGAGGCCAAAGAGAGGTGGCATATTGTATTCCACTTTGTTCACCTTAACCTCACAGAGGGGTCAGAAGTGTTTGAGGGCAGCCACTGAGATAAGTGACTTTTAGGACATTGGCTCAGGATCTCAGGGCTAGATCCAGGGGCCCTAGGAACCAGTTTTAGAATGATGGAAAATGTTTCCTGTTCCCTTGGTTGTACATTGAGGTCCTTCTGTAGCCTGGCATTGCCAGTGTCTAGACATGTGCCTGGCCTGCAGTCAACCCTCAGTTGTGGGTTTTTGAAGTGATGCAGTTGCCAGCCTGCAGCAGCCATAGTCAGTGCCCACTAAGGATTCACAGTATGAGGAAGGGTGATGCTCTGTGCCTGGATGCCCTGCACACAGTTGTCTCTCCTTCCTGTGACCTTGGCAAGCAGCCTGACCTTCACCCTCTGCAGGCAGCATGGCCTCCACAGCTCCTGCCAAGCTCAGGGGTAGGGAGGAGGGGAACAGGGAGCTGCTGGCTCTGAAGTTGAGCGTTCTGGCTCTGCTGCCCCTTGGCTGAGCTTAATTTTCTCCTTCCAGCTTGTCATTTGTAAAAGTGGGATATTAACAGACTCCATGCTGTAAGGACAGAATTGCTGGATACATGTAATGCGCTTAGCTCATGTAGAGACATGGTGGGTCACCAGCAGTAACCAGAGCCGTCCCTCATGTCCATTGTCACAAGGACACCCCTGGTTAGTGCTGTAGGTGTGACACTCTCCCAAAATATACAGGTGACAAAGCCCATGGGCCAGGGAGGGTCACTGAGGAGGCAGGGGCCTCCAGGGAAGAGTGACAGTCGGGGGAAGAAAAGGGTGAAGTGGTGTTTCAGAAGGATTGGTCTGATGGCAGTGGCAGCATGGAAAGTGGTCCAGCTCAACGCAAAGGGAGACACAGCTGCCCAGCTTCTGAGTGGAGAGGCGGCCATTACAGGAAGTGGCTATCTCTCAGCTGTCTGTGCATTCAGGATTCCCAGCAGCATGGCTGGGAGGGGCTGGCTGAATACCAAGCTGAGCAGTGAGCATGGGCAGGGGTCACAGTTTTCCTTGGAACAGTAGTTCCCTCGAGGAAGAGAGGTACCTGGAGATCCTCCAGTCAGGGGTACTTCTATGTGCTGGTGCTGTGCAGCTCACAGGTACTTCCAAACCAGCCTGGGGTTTGCTGGATCTACAAAAGGCCTACAGGGGACCTGCAGAGCAGGCAGGCCCTATACACGGAGGGTGGAAACGGGGCCAGATGTACCCTGTGACTGGCCAGTGCAGCAGTGGTTAAAGGCAGAGGCACAGCCCCAGCTAGGAACGGAGGCAGCGCTATTCATTTCCTCATTTTATTGAAAGCTGTAGTGATATCTGACAAGTACCAGGCAATTCCATCTTCTGTCTTCTGGAGAGATGAAGGTCTGCTGGACTCCCAGCAGCCCAGAAACAGCCTGCGGACAGACCACCATACCCTCACACCAGAGTATGGAACATGTCCACCTTTTCCCGGTACAGCTGGTGGAACTGTTTGGCCAGACAGTGGAACGGGGCCTCGTAATTGTCCATCTCCTTCTGTAAGAAGTGAGAAAGGTGTGAGAGTTTATAGTTTGTGGAAGCTGGCCTCTACTAGAGGCGTCTCTCCCTTCTGGCCCCTGACACTTGGTGTCGGGGCATCTTCATGCTGTTTGGGCAGCTGCTGCCACAGAGGAGATTTTAGAAGGAAACAGCGATACAAAGAACACACTGACGGTTGCATGGCATGAGAATACTGGAGCCAGGGTCTGGGCTGAGGTCCATCTCTAAAGCCATCCTTGTGACCTCTAGGGTTCTGTGTGGAGGACATGAAGATGAATCCCCTTACTTAGCTTTGACAGAGGTCCAAAGGTCATAGCTGGCCTCCAGGTAGGAAGAGGAGGAGGACTACAAAGGCAGCCGGGTACAGCCCAGCCAGGAGATGCACAGCACATACAATCCCCTTCCCCCTATCCAAGATGCCAGGGTGCAGCAGGGACCTTCTACTTCAGGGACCAGTAGGGCCATGGGGAGGGGGGACACAATGGGGACACAGGACCAAGTAGTAACAGGCTTATCTTTGAAGAATACATTGGGACTTCAGGGATGGCTTCTCCCTGGGGATGCAGAGGGCATCTCTGGCACCACAGGTGCAGGGATGGCTTTTGGTTGGAGGGTTAACAGTCTTCCTTATCCCTGCTCCCTGGGTTAGCGCCGACTGAGCTGGAATTAATGCTCGCTTTTCATGACTAAAGGTGTCCAGATGTTTCTATTTTCCAGAGGATTGATCTAAGAGTGGCCAATGGTGGGCCTTCCAGTGTGAGGCACACACACAGCATCCCCCTGATACCACAGCCACCATTCACCTGCAGCATAGGTGCCTGTTTTGTTTTTATCTGGGTTCCTGTCTCTCAAGTTTTTTGTTTTTGTTTTAAATTGGGGCTAATGTTGCAACACCAGGGGACCCAAAATAAGAACCTGTCTCTCAGACAACTATAACCAAGGCTGACCTTGGATTTCTGATCTCCTTGCCTCTACCTCTGGAGTTCTGGAATTACAGGTATGTTTCACGGTGCTGGTGATCAAATTCAGAAAGCCCTGCACTAGACAAGCACTTTCCTACCTGAGTTATACCCCTAGCCGCCATCATTACCACCACCATCACCAACACCATCACCTCCACCATCATCACCACCATCACCAACACAGCAATCATCAATTTAAGACAGGGACTTGCCCTGAATTCTTTATCTTCCCACTTCAGTCTTCCTACTGGTAGATCACAGGTACACACCACCACGCCATCTGGGCATTTTTAAAACAAAGTGGCACAGAGAACCTGCCACACTGCAGATGGGAGGTACAGCTAAGAGTATACAAGGGCCTGTCTGAAAGCTTTTCAGTGGCTGGCAAAAGTGCAGCAGAAGTCGACATGAGACACTGAAGTGTCGCTGATGAAATGGTAGGAATATCACAGAAGTCAGTGTGTCTGCACTTTACAGAGGAGTGGATGAAGCCCAGAGAGCTGGACACTATATCCCGATCCCAGACTAGACAGAAGTACACCAGGCCCAGGGAGAAAGCAGCCTGGACCCCACAGCAAGGGAAAAGCAAGCGTGATCAGGAGGAGCTGTTGGCCAAGAAAACATAGGGCTCAATGCCAAGAGTGTGCTGGGAAAGGAGGGCAGTGTGCAGCCCAGAGAGCACCTACTAAGGTCTCCATAGGCATGAGTGCCTAGCCAGCCTCACTTCAGCCTGTGTGGCCATCATGTTCCAGGCAGTCAATATCACTGAATAAGCTCCCACCATCCCCCACCACCACCACAACCAAAGTGTCCTTAAGTGCCGAGTGGAGGGAAGGAGGCCTATGAAGTCTTATGGGAGGGTTTCTAGACAAAGTCAAAAGCTCTCCAGAGTACTAGCTGGGAGAACCCATGTTAAAATGAAAAGAATTCAATGCCTAGGATCCCCAACAGACACCATGGAGTACTTGGAAATAGATGGGAATTGAACCACTTTGCAAACACATTAAGGGCAACAGAAGCCCTTTTAGCTGATGACTAATCATCTTGTGCAGTTTGGACACTGACAGAGCAGGCTGTTGAGAGGTGGCATTTGGAGTGGGCTCAGACTAGCCCTTGGTTTGACTTAGAATTCTGTCACCAAGAGCCCCCAAGCAGATCTCATGGGGAGGTCAAGGGTGTGTACTCCTGGAAGACCTGAAGCGTTCAGGTCTTTCTGGGCAGGGCTGTGTCCTTCCTTAGCTGTGCAACAGGGAGAAATATACAACCTCTCTGGTTCTATCTGAACAACAGAGATAGGAGCAGCTGCCTTGCCAGGCTGTGCTGAGCTCAAAAGGTAATTTACACAATCAAACGGCAGGCCTCAGCTGCTTTGGAGAGTGGCCCTCCCCACGGAGGCGTGAACTTAGCTTCACTGGCATTCTATACTTAATTTCGCCTTAGTGGTAAACAATGGGTTTGGGTTTAGAAAATTCTTTAAACTTTGTTCAAAGAAATCCTTTTTGACATTTTGGGGGCCCAGAAATGTCAGCCACGGAAGGGTGTTTAAGAGCCAAAGAACCATGGAGGTCTCTCCCGGAGGCTGCTGAACTTTGGAAGAAGTGAAGAGGAGCTCGGCAGCATCACAAACCACATTGGGTTATGTTCTCTTTTTAATTACAGCTTTCTTAACTGAGCCGCCAGTGGCACTCCTGTTAACAGCAACTCAGGGGGGACTAGTTAACTCGCACAGTTAATACGGAGTGCTCAACCGCAGCCTCTTCAAGCAGGATTTATGTGCACCTGGCCTGACACCTAAATGGAGCTGACCAGTACTTGGGTGACTCATGTGTGGGGCCAGGTTTTAATTTCTGGGAGATATGGGGTGTTGGGGAAGGGGATGGAGTGGCAGCCAAATGTAGAGGAGGAGGAAATGGGGAGCTATGGGTATACAGCTCACTGTTTACTCAAAGGTGGCTAGCACGGCACAGCCAGGGAGCCCAGTGCAGAGCAAGTTCTCTCATCTGAACTTCATTAATATAGCTTTGTGATAATTGGGCCTCAAGACAGGGGTGATACCCATCTCTGTATCAGCCATAGGTTCTGGGGTTTAGTAAGCAGTAATGGTAAAAACACCACACCACATTAAGGGATCATGTTGAGTGTTTACTCTGCTAGACTAGACATTGTGCTAAATGTTTTACATTCCCGGGTGTGACGTGATAATCAGCAGAGGGAAGTTTCCTATCCTTGTATTTATAGGCAAGGAGCCTGAGGCCCCATGGTATACATCCCATTCCCAGGGTTCCAGAGCCAGTTCAGCTCCTTGCTGTTGGAAGGCATAGCCTTGTTGCCCTGAAGGCTATGCCTTATCTGTGGAAGTGTGCCAGTGGGGGACATGAGAGATGTCTACATCTACACAGCAACAGGCTATTCTATGGGTGTGATAGGACTTGTAGCTGGAGGAAGTGACACCCAGGGTATGCACTACCCTTGTTGACTCTTTTTGGAAAGCCAAAGAATTGGGCCTACAGAACTTAAAGCTAGACCTCATACAACATAGCCACTGCAGGCCTAACAGGCAATGCTCCTGAGTGAGGGCTGTGGCTTCTTATGAGACACAGCATCTGGGACATCTGCATGCCTGTGGTAGTAGGCTCAGAACAGGTATGTGGCATGGTCAGAATCATGTGCCTGGAAGCCACAAGTAAGAAGGCGTGTCACTGTGCTGGCCAGCCCTGATGATGACAGTGACCCATCACTCGGAGTCTCTCACTACAGGAGAGCTCTCATATCAAAGATGACACTAGATGCTCCAATGGGATGAGAAGCTGGGGGGGGGTCTTAGGGCTGGGTGCACTCTGATCATGTGGGCCTGGGCTAGTCAGTTTTTCACTTTGATGCTGAATTGTGGACAGGACACACTGTGTCCTGTCTATCTGGGAGGCTCCACTGAAATCAAGAGCCAATAGTATTGTGTTCTTTAGCAACTCTCACAGAATTCAAGGGTCAGGGAAATGGACCACCTTCCACTTCAAAGTCTTCCTGAGATTCATACAGCTTTGCCTAGACAGGCCGTTTGCCCTGCTTGTCAGTGCCACACAGAATTCTCATGACACACACTGAGCATTCTGGGTAGAATGTCAACATCGGTTCTAATTTAGATTTTGCATCTGGGAGCATCTATTAGAGGCATCTGGGGTCATGAACAAACCTCCATTGCAGAGCTCCCCCAGCTCAGTGGCTCAGAGGGTGGGGGTACTCACCACAGATGTTTCAAAGAATTCCAGGCCTTGGCCCAGAGCCCATGCTTGGGCCTGCGTAGAATCCACGGTTCGTCTGCCAGAGAGGTCTGTCTTAGTTCCCACTAAAACACCTACTCAAAAGAAATAACCACAATATTGTGTTTTGAGGTGGCATGATGGGAGGTCAGCAGAGAGAGGGCCTGGGATGTATCAGGTGACAGAAGCTGCCCATTTGAGGTGATATGTCAGCAGGGAAGGTCCCCAAGGGCCACAGAGGACAAGCTAGCTTTGCTGTGCTCATGCAGCTCAGTTCAGTTCCTGGCTTCAAATGTATCTATGTTTCTTGTCTCTTTAGGGCTAGAAGCGCCAGGCAGGCCTGGACCAAGTTTAGAAGAGCATTTGTAATAATTCCCAGCACATGGAACCAGCATCAGACATGGTCATTAATGCTAATCTTGGGCCTGGGCTCAGAGTCAGGGACTCAGGTAATTGAGCTCCGTTCCCAGCTGCCTCGGCTGCGTTAATTTCTCAGCCCGTCTCTGGAGGCTGCTTTCCCTGGCCTCTAATGAGAATTTGTTGATCTCACACAGGGATGAGAGAGAAACTGATTTAAAGCATTCAGAAGTGACAACAGGGCTGGAATGTGACTTGTGCCCTGTGTACTGAGGAAAATGAGGAGTTCCTCCCTGGAGCGAGCTTTCTTGAAACATCAATTCAGAATGCAGCATCTTACTATCCAAACTCTCACAACACTTCCTGGTGGGTGGCACTGTCTTCCCACCTCAGGCTTGGGGAGGTTTCCAAGATCATTAAGGGGCAGAGCAAGGGCCCAGTATGGGATGCTGAAGTCAAAGAGTCAGGGATTCAGGGCCCTGCTCTACTCCCACAGAGGCATGTGCAGTGACCTGAGGCCCTGGAGCTGAAGGACAGAGGCACTATTGGGCAAAGGGTTATTCATAGTTCCTACCTGGGAGGGAGGTACCCGGAGTCTGGGCCCGGACCTTCTCCAGCCACTTGGTGCAGCTGATGAAAGACTGCTCATTGGTCACATCATAGACGAGACACAGGACGTTGGGACTCTCCCACTAAGCAGGGGACAGGAGAACATTTCAGGGATGTAACAGGGACTCTTGGATGGGAGAAGCCCAGCTGTTAGGGAGGTGGGTGAGGGAAGGATGTGAGCTGGGAAACTGTTACACTCACAGATAACCATCATTCTCCACAGAATGAATGGAGGCCAGGCTCAGTGGCACTCACATGGAACAGGCATTACCATCTGGGAAAGGTGACCCTGAACCTGGGTGGGGGGAATTGCTATCCAGAAGGGAGCAGTGGCCGCCAGGCACCTCTCATCAGGGGCTGCCTGTGCGTCACTTCGGTGCCCCACTTGGTAGGGTTGGCTGGGGAGAGTCTCACTTTGTAGCTGAAGAAAACAGCTTAGAGGATGTTGACTGGCCTTGGCTGACAGGCTCCAGAGGCACCCACCTCCCTATACAATTAGGCCCTGATCTGACCTTGTGGGGCATGCAGAGTCCTATGTTCTAGTATCCTCGGAAGGCCATCTCAGGATGGGCTCTGGAGAAGTTGGCAAAACAAGGCCAATGCAATGACCCTTCTTGGTGTGGGAGAGAAGGCAGAGCCTCACTTCTCGCTGTAGGCCTTCCAAGAGGAGAAGGGATCAGTGGTCCTGTCCTGAGAGGTGGGGCTTCGAGGACAGATCAGTTTCAGGCTTCCTTGTACATTCCAGAGTTGGGGGTAGCCATAATGGGCAAGTGGGAACACATACTTGCCAAGGCCCCAAGGCTCCAGCTGGGAGGGACAGCCCTGAAAGGCTACTTCTGATGGCCTCAGTGTATGCCTTTGGGGAGTGCCACTGGAGAAGGGGTTGGGCAGAAGTGGGTGTAAAGGTGGGTAGGATAAAAACAACATACTACTTGCCAATTTATCCAGCATTTCGGAGAACAGCTCTTTGCCTGCTGAGTCAAAAATGAAGAGTTCCTGGAACCAGAAAAGTGCATCTCAGAAGTGAGCACTCAGAAGTTTCCCATTCAGCTCTCTGTGGACATGGCTTGAGGGTAGATAGAGTATACATGCACATGTGCATGGGTGCTTTCACACATGCTCTACCTTCTCTGAGGCCCCAGAGAGATGGCGAGGACAGTTCAGAGGCACAGGTACAGCGTCCATCCACCTGACATCATGACCTGGCTCACCTTTCCCAAATTCAAGCACAAAAGTCGAGGGAACAAGCTGACTGCCCACCTGGCGGGTCAGAACGCTAAGCAGGCTGACAAGTGTTCTTGTGTCCAAAAAGCCACTCTGCTTTGTTAACCAAATGGATTCTCAGATCTTAAAGGATTTTTGGTAAAGGAGGTCACTGAGGAGGTCTGGGGATGGTGTTTAAAGTAGGACAGCCTGTCACGACTCTGAATGGTGGCAGTGTACTCTGTACACAAGGCCTCCAGCCTTCCCAGCCCCGGAGGAAACCTGCAATGCTCCTTCTTTCTCAGGGTTCCCCGAGACCCTTGAGGCCCCTCCTAGTGCAGTATCCCCTGCCTGGCTCTGAACCCTGGCAGGCAACACTGTCTATCCCATGTCCTGCCCTGTACTGTGGCTCCTGTCTTAGACTTTCTTGCAGTATCACGGGACATCTATGTCTTTTGTTTTGCTTATGGGTCAGTCTCCTTAAGGACCTGGTGAATGCTACAGACCCTCTTGCTGGGAGCAGCCACACAAACATGACATTGTGCCATTTACCCTCAAGATTTGTGGGGCCTCTGGGGAGATCCTGTTAAAAACTCAGATAAAAGATACTAAGTTCTTTTGGTAAGACCTGCCTCCCAATCCTCCCCTCCTTTCTCAGGCCCTCTCTGAAAGACTTCCTGTGTCATTGTTCTATGTCCCTTTCAGGGAGGGCACCCCAGCCCAAGGGAGCAGCCCCGAGTGCCTAGGCTTCAGGGCATCACTCACCACACTGTCATTTGTGTCAAGAACTGGCACTGTCTTCACCACCAAATCCACACCTGTAGTCTGCAGGGGACACCAAGATGATGGGCATTAGAGAACCCCACAGTGGGGTGCAGTCCAGAACAAGGCAAGACTCCACCTCCCTGCAGAGGTATCCCAGCCAAGTAGAAGTCAGAGTCCCCAATGGCCTCCCAACTCCCTGCCCTCCACTATTCCTCGCATGGTGGTGTTCTGGCCAGTCCCCAGTAAAGGACTCAGGAAACAGCCCTTTACTGGTGGCCAGTGGAAACTGGATCTCCATGTGGCCATTTCCCCATCTTTTCTCAGGCTTCTTAGGACATTATCTGGGGATTGTGCTAAGTCACTCTTGCGGTTAATGGTCATGTTTCTTTACAATGTGACCAGGCAGAAACTCTACAGCCCCACTTACCAGAGTATAGTTCTTCTGAAAATGGGTCCCGTCACTTCGGAACATCTGTACCAAGGCTGTCTTGCCTACGGCTGGGTCTCCTGAAGCCAGAGCAGAGGCAAAGGTCTCATTAGGCATGAAAACCTCCTCCTGCTCAGCAGGGCTTGACTCAAAACCAGAAACTTCACTGAGTTTTCAGAGAAAATGTCTGCTGCTCTTGTGGGAAGCAGTGAGGTTGCCAGCTGGGTAACCGATCCAGGAGACCCAACACTTACCAGGGACAGAACACATCTCTATACACCTCACAGAATGACCTAGAAGGTAACAGGTTAAGGAGGGCTCCAGAGCCCTGGCAACAGAAGTGACACTCTTACACCAAAGCACATCCTGTGGGGAGAGCTGTCACTTTCAAACTCCAATTTGCTGTAGAGTCTAGCCAGCAAAAAGGAGTGAGCAGCCAACTCATGACCCCACCTGGCTAAGCCACTGCCTGCATTTTCATCTGTACTGAGAGGCTGCATTCACTGTGCAAAAACTCATTGCCAAGAGACATGCTCCATTTCCACAGGCCAGGTGAACGCTGAGCTTCAGACTTAGGAGCGAGAACCCCCCCCACACACACCCCACACCTGCTGTCATATGCTACAGTCACCTGGCCCAGCTGGGCTGAGTCCTTCCCTCTCTTTGTTCAATGAAAAGCTACAGGAACCCACATATCAGAGAGCCTGTCAGTTTTCAGGCCCAGACCTCTGAGTCTTTTGCAAGGTAAGAGGGAGTGGTTTCATATCGAGTTCTTCTGGGGCTGTTGTGGGGACAGCTCAGGGTGCCTTGCCCTCTCCACTGTCCCACCTGTAGCCTTGACCCCTGCTGACCTGGTTGTTCTACATATGCAGTGTATCTTTCCTACCTTGAGAGAATACCAATTCTTATTCCACCACCCTGGGTACCCTCAGGGACATCACCACCACCCATCCCAGCATTTGGGACAATCTCCATCTTCATTCTGTTTCACAGTGATTCCCTTTGCCTGACTTCTCCAATCTGCTGCTCCAGACTCTGCTCAGTTTTGACTTTTCCAACCTTTTTTTCTTTCTTTCTTTCTTTCTTTCTTTCTTTCTTTCTTTCTTTCTTTCTTTCTTTTTTTTTCTGTGAGACAATTACATGACAACTATGGTATCTTGATGTAGGAACCTCTGCTAGGGCCAAGTGAGCCATTCAGGACTCAATTTCCTGTCAGTGCTTCTTAGAAGGGAACGGCCATGGGCAGCACTCTCCTTACAAGTCCTTCTGTCCCATGCTGCACCCCCCCCCCCGCCAATCCCATTGAAGTCACTGGTAAAGACAGCTCATAGAATCCAGGTAACTATCTAGGATTTTTATATTGCTTTGCTTTACTAAGCTGATCTGGCTGATCATCCCAAATGCCACCTTGAGGTTCTTTGCACTATGGCCTCTCAGGGTCTGTGGGCCCCACTGACTCTAGGGCAGACAACCCAGCAATTCCTCATGTCTCCTTGATGACCCAGATGGCAGTCAGTCACTATGCCAACTCCCATTCTGTTCTTAAACCTGGGAGGAAATTGGCTCTTTTTCCCTGGGAAATTCCCCCTGCAGATTAGTTTTGGTTAATGTCAAGAAACTTTCTGCTGACTGCCAGTCACCAGGGCTGGCAGTGAAGCTCCTGTGTGGGCTACGAGGAGGGATCTGAGTACAGGGAGGTGGGGGAGCTGGCAGACACATTCTCAGAGCAACAGGATGACAAGTGAAAAGACAGACAGCACAGCTGAGAAGCAGAGCATCTGAGGGAACATGAGAAACCTCGAGAGCCCATGAGCCCATTGGTTGCTAGGTGCAGGGCTCCCTGGAGCCATGGCCAGGGCTGGAAGAATGGATTTCCTTGGAAGGTACCATCTGAGGCTACCTATGACCTCATAACTGCCAAGTCCCAAGACCTCTCCTGGGTTTTAACTAGTGAACTCTCTAGATGGGGAGGTGGCCTGAAACAATTGCCCCACCCTGATCATGTGGTTGTGGTGACCCTTCAGGGCTCTGTTCTGTCACCATTACCTGCTCCTTTGCCCCCTACACGCCTTCATGCAATGGGCACTGCTGGGTCATCTTCAATGCTCTGATCCTGGCTCCTCTGCCTCAGCTCCCCACATCCTCATCTTAGCTTGGGATTAAGTCCAGGGCCTCATGCATGTGAGGCAAGGGACCTACTGCTGAGCCACAGCCACAACCCTGGCTTCTCATTCCTTGACTCTTGCTGGCTCTTCCCAAAGCTGGCTATGCATCCAGCCATTATAGGGGCTTCCGCAGTCTTCTGCAGTCTGTTGTCCACAGCCAAGCCCATGTCTCACCAAAGACCTGAGTGAGTTCTCCATCTCTGTCTTTCTGCTCATCACACTACCATGTATCCAGCATCCTTGTTGTCCCAGGATATGACCACCACCACCTCCTGCATCCCACTGTCTTCTTCCTGGTTCTTCTGTTACAGGCTGTCTCCCATGCCTACACTCTGGGCATTTCTCCCACCACCTACAGGTGCCCCAGGAGCACATACATCATAGCAGGACTGGGAGCCCCCTTTTTGAGCTTCCCTCTGCCCATCCCTGAGGGTAGCGATCCCTGCACCTGACTACCCCAGTGTCCTTGCCTCTGATGTTGATTTTTTTTTTCTTTTTGCCACTTACATGACAGTCACTGCTGTAAAGTGTAGCCATCACCAGGACACAGGCCCCACATTTTCTCGAACTTATTTCAAGGTCTTAAAATACAGAACTTAGCTGGGTACACCTGGCTCTGAAGTTGATCTGGGTCCCCTGTCAGGGAGAACAGGTCCTGGTGGCAATGTGGCACATGATGACATCGCCCTAGGGTTGATGGAACTAAGTGCTGTACTAGCCAGGCAGTGCCCCTCCCCAGAGGCCTGCACTAGCTCCGTGGGGTCCTTCTGCCTCTGCACCACTGCTGTGTGTCTCAGGACTTCTGCTGACTGACTCTGGCCTGTCACAACTTAGGAGCTGATTCTGTCATTATCTTTCCCTGACTCCCCATGCCACCAACCACATCTCAGCCTCATCAGAGTGTTGCAGAACAAGACGGCCCTGAGTCCCCTCATTCACCCACAGCTCTCTTGGTCATCCTCTAGCTGACAGTCCAACCATCTCCAATGGTCCATTACAGAAAATCTAGAGGCGCCATGCATGTCCTTTTGTTCCCTGGACTATCCAACCCAAGTCCAGACTTATTCTTTCTCTCCAGGCAAGGCTCAAATGGCTTCTTGTGTGCCTCTGAGGTCATCTGTCCCTCTGTTGTCTTTACCAGGGTGGCTATCATATCAGCTTCATATACTCAGAAGGGATGCCAGGGCTACACTCCAGCAAGTGTAACTATTGTCTCCATATCCCTATACAGATGGTTCATCATCAAAAGGGCAAAGACATGGGGCCAGACTCCAGCTCCATGCTAATCATGTGACATTAGGTCAGTTACTTAAGCCCTCTGTGTCCCCTTTTCTATATCTGTAAAAAGGGCGAACTATAGTGCCCACTTCATAGATTTGCTAGCGAGTTAATGAGTCAGTATGTTCCCTGCCTGGCACACAGTGTTGTTTGTTAAACACATGAAATACAGAGGAATGTCAACTGTGCCTTTTTATACCCCTCCATCTCAAGCCAAAGAAGCGGCAGCTGTGTCTAAGGCACTCCTCAGAGCCTGCCACACAATTCACACATGCACATCTGGGTTCTTCCCAGTAAGGGAGTTGGGCTGACTGCATCTTGCATGGTGACCCAACACAGCAGATGCTCAGCAAACATCTGCTGAGTGACTACACATGTGGACTGGTGACCTATATGTGGCCTAGGAGGGATGCAAAGAAAAAGCTAGGTAAGGGCGTGTGTGTGGCAAGAGAGGTATGGAGACTAAGAATCTGAATGTGGTTCCACTGGGGTCTGTTGGTACCTGGAGGCTCCCAAGGGGAGACACCCTGAAGGCCTTAACCAGAAGCTGTAGACTGAGGACCAGGTTTTGGAGTGGAGGCCAGAAACCACTACTGACTCTGGCTGGGGCAAGAATCATGTGGCAGGTACAATGCCTGGGTCTGGACCTAGGACAAGTATCTTCATTGGTCTGGGCCTTGCTTGCCTCATCTTACACAAGGATGACATAGGTGGCTGTGAGGGCTAGGTAGAAGACTTGCTCTGAGGGTGTGACATGGGACCAGCACATAGCAATTCTCAGGAGAATGACTCATGACAAAGAGCTTCTTGCTTCTTGAGAGCTCATCAGCTAATGAGGAACGAGCAGAGAACAGCAGGCAGGCAGAGACGCCCACTTAGAGAGAAACTTAACTTTAGAAAAATGAAGATGTCCTCAACTTCCCCATGCAGAAGTTGAACACTGTCCAAGGCAGCAGAGCTGGGGAGAGGACTGACCAGCATCCTTTTGTTACACAATACCGCCTCCCCTGGCGCTCTAGGAACTAGAGGTACTCTGGAGAGAGAGCCAGGATTCCTTCTGCTGCAATAGGGTCTGAGTCACCACTGTCATTCATCTTTCTGCATTAGAAAAGTCATTAGGGGAACTATCCCCCATCCTCAGTTTATAGGATAAAGATCCAAAGACCACCCCCCTTCCTTGCTTACTAATTTCTTGATTGCAAAGAAGAATCATGGGCTGGGCATAGCTGAAAAATTATCTAGATTAGGTTAATTAAGGGGAGAGGCACACCTCCAAAGGTGGTGGCACCATTTTAAGCGCTGGAGCCCCCTACTGGATAAAAAGGGGACAGTGAGCTGAGCAGCAGTGATCATGGCTCCACTTCCTGTGAATGCAATGTGATCAACCAGCAGCTGGGCTCCTGCCACTATGCCTTCCCCACCATGACCGACTGTCCCCTGGAACTGCGAGCCACAACAAGCGCTTCCTCCTTTAAGTTGCTTCCTGTCAAGTATGTTGTCATAACAACAAGAAAAGTAGCCAACACTTCATCTAGGAATCCCGTGTACGACATTCTCTAGGAGTTCACCTTATGCAACACCACTAGGTGCCCCAGTTATAACAGGACCACCCTGTTGTGCTGTGGTAAAGGGGTTAAATGAAATACAAGTGACTGGCATGCAATGTCCATAAAGTTGCTGTTGACCAGTCTACTAAGCAAATGGTCTTCAGCAAAGGGGTTAAATGAAATTGAGGCAACTGGCATGCAGTGTCTATGCAGTTGCTGTTAACCAGTCTGTCTATGAGCTAAGCAAACAATCTTCACACTGGCTCAAGGCAAGCCCACAGGTATGAGCACAACAACTCACTCACTCTGCATGTATCTATTTAATGCTCATCCATGCTCTAGGCATTGTACAAGCCATTTTCCAGATTAGTCAACAATAACGAGATTCTTACTTCCAGGGAAACTCCAAGTCCAGGCTCTCAGACAGGCATCACAGTAACCCACCCCCCACCCATCTTCCTGATATCAGAGCGTGTGGGGCCAGTGTAATAATTCGAACTTTGTGGGGCCAATGTCACTGATGCCTAACTTTGGGATACAGTCTATATTTGTACTGTAAGTCTACCTGGTAAGGTGGTCTCAAAATATGGGAGACAGGGGACACAGCTGCAGTTACAAATGTGTCCGAGAGGGAGAGGGAATAATTGTTCCCCGCTTTCTGGAATCTGCTCTATTGGTCGTTATTCCTATGGGAGACAGACAGTGGTCGCAATCGTCTACCAAAACTGCCCGAGTTAGGATGACTCAGGCTCGAAAGACCATGCGTTCAAGCGCATTTTACCACTCACCTGCCAGGATGCATTTGGCTGCTAGCTTCACCATGGTAACCAGCCACTAGCAGGGATTGGGGAGGGAGAGGGTGGCTGAAAAAGGTTAGGATTCGGGGACAGCGGATCCCAGGGCTTGTGGCCTCGATGGAGAGATGGATGAAGGCCCGGGAGCTAGGGTTGGGTGGACATTGGGCTCCAAGGCCCCAGGCAGTAGGCACAGTTGCCCGCGGAATGGAGCGAAGCGGAACCTCTCCCTGCCCAGCCTTCTGGTCCAGGGCCTTTTCTGTAGCGTTGGGACACAAACGACTAGTCCTACTAGTCCCAAGAGTCGCGCCAAACGCCAAACAGCTCCTGGAAACCATCGCCAACCCGCCTCCTCCCTCCGTGTTGTCCTCCGATTGGTTTCTATCAAACGCTGGATGTTCCAGAGACCCAATAGAAGAAGGAGGCGGGAAAAACTGTCTTCCTTCGCCCGACGATGCGGAGAGGTTCCTGTCTTTAACTGCACTCAGTTTGGCCAATGGCTTCAGACGATGTCAATCACCGCTGTGCGCCTCCCAGCGTCTTTGGAGCAGCAGCCCAGTCAGAATGCAACTGGAGGCAGGAAATAGTGGGGCTTTCGGATTGGCCAGAGTGTGGCTTGAACCATCGCGAAGTGCACCCCCTAACTTCCTGGGAGTGGATTCGCCCACATGGGGCGGGGCGACACCGTCAGAGCGGCGCCTGCGCACTAGAAGAAGTTGCAATCTCCTGATCCCGGTGCTGTTGACTACTTCCTTAGACCCCAGGTTCAGCGGAGACCAACAACCCCTGCCTCATGTTCAGAAACAAAATGTCATTTTTAAAGCCCTGTCGTGTTATGCGCCTTAAAAGCTGAAATAGCAGGGAGGGAAGGATGAGGAAAGTTGAGGAAGAAGTTAACAGTGTAGATGCAGGAAGGCCCGGTATGATTTGAACAGTGGGAGACTGAGGGCTGCGGAACAGGAAGGAGAAATGTTCACAAAGAAACGATAAATATTTGGGTAGAGAGCTTTGACCTGATGGAAACTCATACACTGTATACATATGTAAATGCGTACAGATTTGTTATAATGTATCAGTTAAATTGAATTAAAATATAAATTCTAAGTTAGACGCAATTTGAAAGTGATACCTGAGCGGATGGGAGGCCATGGTAACATGGTTGAGCGGATTTGTGCTTCTCAGTTGGCTTCCTCTGCTGTAAATAAAAGGATGTCATCTCCATGTCGCCCATGAGGGGAGGGTGGATAAATGCCATCTGACTTTCCTAGGAGCCTCTCTTGCTTTGTCACCAAGTGATGGGATATAGCTGGGCAAGTTACCACACTTCTAGACCTCTGAAAAAGGTAGAACCCATTTATCTCATGGGAGAAAGGAAATAACAAGTGTCTTGTGTGTTGGGTTTTTGCTGCTATGACAAAACAGCTGAGAGAAACAATTTAAAACAGGAAAGGTTTAGTCTGGTCATTTGGTTTGTCATCATAGCAGTGATAGCCTATAAGCATATAGCCACCACCTATAGGAGAGGGGAGGAAGAGCTTCAACCATATGCCCTCAAAGACACACTCTTATAACCAGATTACATTTCTCACATGAGGTGACTATCGATGGGTCAGTCCACTGATGAAATCAGAGTTCCAGTTATCACTTCACTCCAAACACTTCCCCTACAAGCCTTAGTTCTGATAACTCCTACTGTAGGAGCCAGGCTGTCAATACACAAGCCATTGCGGGTAGGGTGAGTGTGTGTCTACCATCACAGTCCAGTATTGCTGCTACAGGTTGGCCAGAGCTCTCCACTCCACTGCTTTCTCACTTTTACCAGGTCCCAGGATGATGGCTAACACTCAGAGAGGGAATATCTGTCTCTCTGAAGAGGTGCCAGTGTCATGAGGAGTTTTTGGAACTATCACTGCCTAAGAGTTACCCAGGCTCTCATAAGAAACCCCCATAAACTAGTTGGTTTGTCATACTGGATGTGGATGGTGTTGGAAACCAGAAAGTCCCCCTTTTAAAGCAAGCATGCCAAGTGTGCCCTCTCTTGCTCTCTCTTTCCCTCTCTCCTCTTGCTCTCTCTTACCTTCTCTTGCTCTTCTCTCTTTTTCTCCTCCCTCCTGCTTTCAGTTGGCCACCAGCTACACCCCCTTTCTCTCCCCTCTACCAATAAACTCCACGTGGGCGTTGAGTCTCATGTTTGTGTTTCATAGGCGACAATTGAAACAACAGAACAAAAGATGGGGTTGTTTCCTGGTCTGTCTGTCCTGTCTGGGTGAAAAGGCGTGTCTCTTGGGAAAGTCATATGACATCTTCTTTAAGGAATTCATCCTATAGATATTTAGAGAATGCTCTACTAAGCTCAGAGTAGAGAGTGGGGCTTGAGCCACTTATCCCAGTTGGGAGACAGGAAACTGAGAACATGCTCCATACCTATTTGGAGTCAGTGTTGGGTAAGGACCAACAGGTGCCCCCCCATGCTGTGACCCATGTGACCCCAGGGCAATTTCAGTGTACACATCTATCTGAGCACACACTCTTAGGCAGTGCCAGGGTTGTTTTATTTTTGCCTGGGCATTATACTGTTCCTCCAACTCCTCGAGAGCATTTTCACCTTGGGGCCTTTGTACATAATATTTTTAGCATGGCTGCAGGATGCTGTCCCTTATGACCTTCAGATCACTGTCCCACTGGCATGTCCCTAGGGGTTCATCCCTAGGCATCCACTTGAAAGAATCTTCTTGCATTTGGCAGCCTGTCACCTTCCTTACCGTATTGTCTTCCTGGCACTGGCTACTGGTGGCAAGAATGTGCCATGGTGCTTTCCAGAATTCTACACTTGAAGATGAGCTTCATGAGAAGAAACACAATAGTTTTTGGACATTTGCCTCTTGGTCAGTCTCCAGCATAACGAGACATTTAGTGGGTGTTTTTAAGGGGACACATCTCATAGGATTTACCCATCTGGTAATTTGACAATCACTGGTTGCTTATTTTATTTAGTCCTTATTGTTTATGGTATTAGGAGTTGAATCCAGGTCAAGGCCTTCATCACTGAGCCATCCCCCTACCTCCGCCCAACAAGCACCTATTCTTGAGCACCAGTCCTCACACAGGTAATGTTGCCCCTAGGAAGGGCAGCAATCATTCCAAGGGGGGCAGTTTGGTCCTGGCTCCTCTCTCTCCCCTGATTGCACGCTAAGCTGGAGCTAAGTCTCTACTGGACAGGAAGGGTTAACAGTGCTCCTCCCAAAGTTGGAGGCATGGCTGTGGGGGCTAGTGATGAAATGGGGGCTTTGCACAGAGGGCTTTTCTTGAGAGTGGATCATAGAGGCAGCCACTGACACATTGTTCCCAGGGACCTTTGGATCATTCTGGGGTCACTGAGCTCTTGACAGCCTGGACAGCAGCATGTATGAGCTGCGGAATAAAGACATTCAGTGACAGCTGTCACAGTCTGTGCAAGAGGCATGGGCTTCTCAGGCCAGCTGCATAGCCCAGGTCCCTCCATTAACACACTGAGAACAGCGTGGGATCCTCCCTCTGTCTGGGTGACATTGGAAACCCATTAATTACATAATGTAGCAGGAAAGTTGTTAGGAACAAAATAGACCATTGTGTGTGTGTGGGGGGGGGATAAATAGGGAGGGTACCTCGATAGTTTAGACTGAGCCTCAGAAAGAATGACTTCTGGGAACTAACACTCTTTCACTCTGATGTATGTGTGTCTGGGGCAGTGCTGAGTAGAGAGGGCCAGGACTTTGTGGTGTCTTGTAGGTTTAGATCAGGGTTTCTTTTGGGCACAGCTGATATTTTAATATGGGGAACTTTTTTGTTTGGTGTGGGGAGCTACCACGAACTTTGCGAGATTTCTTTTTTCTTTCCCCAGCATCTCTGACCCACTAGCTATCCAAATAATCACCCTTGGCAGACAACAACAAAAAGTACCCATCATTGTCCAATGTCCCCTTGGGGTCAAACACTTCCGCAGACAGGAGCTGCTGATTTAGAAAAAGCTATTGACTTAAAATGAAAACCCTAAGGTCTTGAGATCAGACTGTCCAGCTTTGATCTCTCTCTGCTTGCCCCTCAAGTCTCAGCAACTCAGTTGTTGTTCTGCCTGTTCCCATGGCAGTACATGGATGTGCAGCAGGGAAATGGTTCTGATACACAGCCTGGACATGATGGGAGATTGCATGAGGCAGTGGCCGTAAGGCAAGGCACCACAATTGGTGTGAAGCTTCCTGTGGCAATGACCTTTGAGGTTTGTGTGCCCACCACTGGAGCGGGACTACTTGTCTGTGTCCCTGCTGGTCTCAATAAAGGGCAGAAGCTGACTCACTCCCCCTGTGTTCAGAATGCAAAGTGGAAGAGCCCAGAGCTGTGTGCTGTGTCTGCCAGGCAGGCTGCCATGGGCTGATTTGGTCAGCAGGGGGCAGCAGTCACTGGGGAAAATGCCAGCCACAGGCAGGTGCCAGGCGCTCTTGGTTTTTCATGGATTTCAGATATTCTTTTATTTAAAGTGAGGGAATCACTTCTCCAGAGTCACTTGAGGCCTTCTTTAATGGTCCTTTGACAGCGCATCTGTGATCAGCAAAAGCTGCTCTTCCAAAACTGTCTATGGTCAGTGTGTCTTGTCCTTTCCAGGTTAGATGAGGCACTAGGAGGCTAGTGGTGGATGGATAACTCAATCGGCTCTCCCTGGAGGTTCATGGCTTAGATACACACCCCAGAGCCTGCTCTCTTTCTGTGTTCTGTGCATGAAGATTGTGTTGCTGTGTTCACAGGGTTCAGTAGCACAAATGACTTGCTTTGATAGAGGCCAAACTCCACAAGAATAACGTAAGCGGTTCTTTACTGTTTCCCCTGTCTTCCTTTTGTGGTATCCTCACCTCCCATAATGCCCCAGAGCTGGAGGACCTACCACCCTGGCTAGACCGGCCATTGCCCATTGCCTACTACTACTTGGACACCATCTTAGCCTGTCCTTCAGTGCCCCCCAAACAGCACAAACCTCTGCTCTCTCATTCTCTCTTAAGATCTGCTGTTAACTTCATCTGTCCCATTTCTACTCAGCATCCAGTTTCATCCTTAAACCTTTTTTAAGGCCATTGAGATAGTTGGGAGGGTCAAGGCACTATCAGCCAAGCCTGGTGACATTGATTTTGATTCCTGGGACCCACAAGGTGGAAGGAGAGAACCAACTTCCTCCACAAGCTGTCCTCTGACCTCTCTACATATGCCTTGCAGCATCTGCCTCAGCGCTTCATTCACTCTGTCTGGGAC